GTGCTACGTCTGTGAAGCTAACCTGACCGGATCCAAGCCCGGCAAGAAGGAGAAGGAGGGCAAAGAGAAAGAAAAGATACGCCCCGGCCTCGTCGAGCTACGCAGAGAGGGTACTGGCTTTTCCGCCGGGGGGGCAAACACTGTCAAGAAGGACACTGTCACATTCACCGTGTAAATCATTTTATTTAGGAGAAACGCCCGCACATACCTAGCATGCTTCTATATCTAGGAATACATTTCATAACCAACGTCAACTCTGCATCATCGACACACCTATCCTTCCACCCCTTACCAGGTCTGCCAACACTCCCCTTCCAACAAGTTGCCATCCGCCTTTCTCATTTCTCTTCCTCATCCTCTCCACCAACTGCCTCCTCAACCCCGGCCACTGCACCAACAACCCAGCCACCACCCAATACAACTTGATAATAACCCCATGAACGACGTCCTTGGTCAACATCGTCGTCCCATGATTAAAAAACCCCTTCAGCAACTCTCCTCCAATCCCATCATACAGCGCCTTGACCCCTTCCTCTCTCCGTATCCTCGCCACGGTGGTAAATATCCCGCCTCTCTTTTCCTTTTCCCCTTCACCCTTACTACTCTTATGTCCCACCTGCAGCCTAGCCTTCCCGATCTGAAACGGATACGTCACCGCCGTAGCTCCCACTTTGCTCATCGCTGCCAACAAAAAGGTAATCCCACTTCCAGGGTCGTCCCAATTTTTCCTATCCACCAACAGTCTCTTCAATATCGCCTGCAAGAAGAACGTCAAGCTTGGGTTGAGCGTCAACACCAAAGAGGCGGAATATCCAGCCCAGAGACCTAGCACACCGCCCTTTTCAGCCTGAATCTCTCTCAGCACCTCCCAGAACCCCTTCTGTTGCGGTTTACGAATCGGCGATGATGAGGGAGACTTGGAGTGTTCAAGCAACGAAGCGGTTTGCCGGTGTGTCACAACATTGCTGACGGGCGTGGTGAAGAGTTTCGCGCAGGCTCCTGCTGCAGCTCCTACCGCCAATTCCTCAATAACTCGTAGATATGGTAAATCGGGGTGTCGACCAACAAGTCGTCTTGCTCGGAACCACTGTCCCCAAGACCAGTCAGCAATATTCCAACACCATTTCCAAAGAAGATATGTTACCGTATAGAACAAAAAGAAAAGAAACGAATCCGCTGCTGATTTCACAACATCAGCCCCCAGCCCCGCGAAAAACGCCTGCAGCCCGCCCTCCTTGTCATAGATCTTGACAAAGGCGTCAAAGATGGACTGGTAGCATTCCTCTTCGGAAATTGAATCATCAAGGCGGAGCTGGCGCTGGACTTTTAGGCGGGTGTTAACTAGATCGAGGGGGTAGGTTAAGAGGGTTGAGATGACCGTGCCAGCTGCGCCGGAGGAGGCGTGGCCTAGGGAGGGGAGGAGTTTGGATGCTCGTGGCATCTTGATGGATGCTGGCTGGGGTAATCTCAAAGACAGTGTGAAGACAGGACACCCAATTGCCGAGGAAAAGAGGGCCAGCAGAACAAGGGTGCAAAGTGGGAGGGAATCAAAAATCAGAAAGAGGGCAGGTAGTGGGAGAAAACAGTGGTAAAATTGGGGTCATGTCATTAATAGAGAAGCAAACTATCGTGAACATAAACAACCTCGGCTATATATCTTGTCCCGTCGCAATGCAAAGAGATGAACACATCGGCATCAGGCATCGCGTGTGGGGAGCTTTCAATGTCGAGCAAACGACGTCATCCCGCTCTTAGCGTTGCTGACCCCCCCCCCCCCCCCCCCCCCCCCTTCCTTTGGCCCCGATTGTGGGGTGCATGAACCTCTTGTGATCACCGCCTTTTTGTTGACCTAATTATGGGATTCACATGTTACAAATGCGAGGAACCGCAGGGAAAATATGGTCTTGAAGTTAAACAACTTCCCAATAGCTGGGATGAGTTTTCGAGAGGTGATTTCGCCCCGAAACCCGTCCAACCCCGTCCCTCACATGCTCACCACCACCTCCCCTCGCTCGTACTCAGCATGAATGTGTGAATAAGAAGCCTTGCAAACCCTGATAGCTCGACGATTGCGGCTTTGCGCCGTCATGTCTATTAAAAAAATGCGCCTCTGCCACAGACGAGATCCTCAAGAACATCGCTCTCGGTCCTGTCCCGGACACCAACTATCTTAACGAATCGGTCATAGTGGACCAGCCTCAGTCTTTCTGCAGCTATCTAGCTCACATACAATTCTTCTCGGGTCAATTAAACAAGTCTACACTCACACCGAACGTCTGCTTGGTAGGAAGAAGCGCTCGGAAGTGGCCAAAGGATCCGCGTGCCCACATGCCGTTCTCCCAACCCCGGTGGATCTCGACCAGCCTAGTCCTTCCAATATGCCCCATTGGTACAGGTAAACAACGAGCACGCCGGGTTCATCCTCTTCCGCCGTCGACAACATTTCCATCGCGACCGCTGAGAACCAGCTCTCCTTATAGACCGGGCTTCACATCCTTGCAATTGTCCAGGCCGCCAAAACGGAAGATAGATGATACCAAGCGCCTTTCGAAACATCGTCGCCTATCTACTGGTCTCTTCGCCTGCCCGCACTAGGCTCATCCGCCCGCAAAAACAACTCCTTAATTCTAACTAGGACGAGGTATCTGCTTCTCGCCGCTTGCTCTGTGGCAGTTCTCTTCGAGCTGAGATGGTTGACTGGCCCCTTCACCAATTTAATTGCGACGAAGGGAGCCTGCGGGATCTATCTTCTGGAAAAGCTCTTCTATGTCTAGCATCGGGATCAGCACCTTGATCAAGAGCCTAAGCAGCGCGTCGGCGCGCATGGAAGAGCCCAACGGAGGCATCGGGCCGCTGATGGTTGCGGTGCCAGCTGGAGAGCACGGCTCGCAAGATGAGAAAGTCAACGACTTCTTGCTCGGCGAGGTGGGACCTGAAAACGCTCGCGAGTTCGTCAAGCCGGGCAAGAGGACGAACCCGCCATCGAGGTCACGCTGTATCCATGCTGCAGGAGGTGAGCAGCTTGACACCTTGTCACCCGAAACATGGGTTGTCGTAGTCCCGTGCTCTTGGCGGTTTCGTTCACCTTTGTGAAAAATGCTTTGAATATAATCGTAGGGGATAAACTCTGCTGGTTCGCTGAGAGGGCGTCATGGAGGTCGCAGTTAGCTGCGCTCGCAAAGGAATTCTATTGCCAGGGCCCGGGGATCAAGCTAGGGGTCTGGGTCGGTAAAGAAGGCTTAGTGGAAAAGTCGAAGTCGAGGAAACGAGTCCAATGCGTGGATAAAAGACGTGAAAGAGTAGAGGGACGAAAAGACAAGAAAACTTCTTTTGTTGCTCGTGTATTCGCACACCAAAATGGCTCCCTTGGAAGCCGCAAGCCAAGGGAAAACGCAATCATTGGTATATAAAAAGACAATCAACAGCGACCGAATGCCGAGCAATATTTACAGTCGATATAGCCACACCATGGTCTGTCTTCTGGCCCTGCATATCTAAAGATCATTCAGTCAAAAGTAAGTTTCCATGTTTCCCGACTAATTCTCACCGTTTACTGATACACACAATACCATTCTAATGGCGGGTCTCGTCCGCTTGCACAACCGCTGGTAGCATGTACAAATGAAGCCACCAACTCGTTGATGGAACACACCTACGCTACATACGCGGTTGACATCAAGAACCACAGAAACTCACCACACGGTATGCATGTCACCTTCTCACGGTTAGCAGCGAATAGCACCCATCTCTCTCCATGGGTCGAAAATCAGTCGAGTCGCTTTTTGGGAGGAACAAGAGGGCACTCGTAAACCAACTGCCACCCCTCGTCGTCCAGAATACAGATATCACCTGAAGACACAGCAGTGCGAGTGAACGAGATACGATGGTAGTCAGGAATCACCACCCTGTTGGTGTTGTAGGTCGCCGCACGTTGAGAGCGACGCTCGATTCGCGAGCACGGCCTCCCACTCCCGCGCGGTCTCTTGGGGAGCGGAGAACAGGAAAGAGACGAGTTGGATTCCTTGATTTCTGTCTCAAGAGCGCTACATCTGTCTACCACCTTGTTCTCACTGCGCTTGATCGAGTTAGTCGTTGATAATCTTGGCCTCGAGCCTGGTGTTATGACTGACAAGAAGAGTCTTCGCGATGGGCTAGCTGTTAAGGTTGAGCTTATCAAATACTGTGCTTCTCTTCCAACTGTTGGCTCCGAAAGAGAAGCGCTCTGACGAGCAACATGGATGGCCACCCATCGTCACTGTGTGTGCCCCCGAGTTGGAGGTAGTAGGGCAGTTCCTCTGTTATTGTTTAAGTGGGAGATTTGGTGGCGAGTACTTCTTGCCCGAGGCGGCAAAAAATAGTCTGTTAAAAGGGCCTTGTGCTGGCAAGCCATCACACGAGTTGGGACAATTCCAAGTCTTTCTCTTTCTGCCTTCGTCTTTGGAGGTTGGCCAATTGCCTGATTCTAGACCGATTTTAGACGACTGTGGACATAAACTACCACAACAATGCTGTCGTCAGCCAGTCAGGCGACTATCGCCCATTGTCGCTCACAGCCCATGACTTTGACGAACCGTAAATAGTGAAAAACCGGGACCGGGACCGACTCCTGAAATACCCCCTTTTCCATTCATGGAGGTAAATAACCCAACTTACACCCAGAATACCTTCATAACTCGATTAAAACCCTTGATACAAAAAAAACGAAACTGCCATCCATAAGTCTCAGACAATACATTCACCTCCCCAATCAACAACGAGAAGATAATCACAAAGCAACGTCTTCACCCTCAAGATGCAAAAAAGTCATCCACCAGACAAAACTCGAAACCCGCTGCTCGGACGGAAGACGACATGAAGAGCTAGGACAGTGTAAACAACCACGGCTATAAACCTCCAAAGCAACTTTCTCTCCTGATTAATAACATCAGACATCCCGGTTACTGTCCCCCCCTTCCTTCCTTCAAAAGTCATCTCAAAACAGCAAAAGGAAACACTTATCATGGACGAGCTGGGAATCGAACCCAGGACCTTTCGCATATCCGATATATCAAACTCCACATCTATTGTTGCTTCATTTTTTTCAAGATTATGCTAAGCGAACGCTCTACCAACTGAGCCACACGCCCCCTGTTTGAAATTCCATGTCTCACCATCCCAGACATTACCCCCATCATATCACAACTCTATCCCAAATACGTCGTGGAGGAATTTTTTTTGGGAGATTGCTATTTAGCATAGAACACGTAAAAGATAAGTCAATAGGTAGTAAAGACAGGATAGTGTGTATGCCCTAAATGATCGTCAAAAGGCTTTAAAGACAATCCAGAGGCCTTTGTTTTATATGTGCAGTCCCTATTCTTTTGTTCACGACGTGCCCAACAACCCCCTCTCATCACCCTGCTCGTCACTCAGCTCGTCACCCACGACATACACAACTACTGCACGTTCACCCAGGCAAGTACGAATTCGAGAATATTCAATTTGAGTTTTGTCTAGCCATACAACGACGACGACGGTGTATCATAGTATACAACCCCCACTCTACTAAAACAAGTAGTGATAACACTTTACAAAAAGAAAAAGTCCCCCTTCATAATCCAGCAACTGCAAGCCAAGCAAGGCAAATTCCCATCTCGAAATCCAGAGCCAGCCAGCTTTTGCCCAAAAAGGCCGAAAATAAAACAAAACAAATTGAGAAAGCAATAGCAACAACAAAACCAAAACGCTACTTTCGCCCCCGTTTTGGTTTGTGGAAAGTGAGGTATCCATCCCCATCACCAATCGCCTGATTCCTTGAACGGGAATTAACTCTGGGAATAAACTCCGGAAAGAAACGCCAACCGAAAACATGGATATAATGCTAAGCGATGTTGAGATGATGTCGAATAACCTGGATTGTGTGTGCCGAAGGAGGAAGAAGAGGAATAAAAGGGGTATATAATGTCGAAAAAACCTTAAATGTTTTTTTGTCAAAGTGGAAACACTGAATGTTATCGTTATGGACCCAGGTTATCCCAATTGCTAGCCGTGATATGGATTTTGCTGATGTGGTGAATATTGTTGATAATGTTGTTGTTGTTGTTGTTGTTGTTGTTGTTGTTGGTGATGGTGGTGGCGATTCGGATACCCAACAAACCCCTGCGTCTGCTGCATCATGAACTCGACACCCGGGTTGCCCGTCATGTAATCACCATGCCCCAACTGCCTTGACCTGGCCTCCACCTGTGACGGCGACAAGCCCGGCATCGCCAATGGCATCGACATCGTCCTCGACACTGGCGATACCGGCGGTTGGGCATCAGACGCCCGGCGAATCATGGGCATGGGATGGGACGGCCCTGTCATCGCAAATCCTGCAGCCAGTGACTCTGGCTGATGCGCAAACAAAGATTGCTGCTGTAATGCCTGAAACTGGGCAAGTCGATAATGGGCTGCGTGGCTAGTGGACGGGTCGATGGTTGGTTGCGAGAAGCGGCGCGGTGTGTACTGCGAGGGCAGCTGTGACGGCAGGACTTGGCTGGGAAGCCGAAGGTGAGGAGGTACTCCTGCCCAGTTTGCGGGGATTTGATGTGGTGGTAATTGTATATGTGTTGGCCGTGAAGAAGGACAGACTACTGGTGACATCGGGACAGGCTGTGGACTCGGTTGTGATAGCGCCATCGGAATTGGTTGCGAAGACACTACCGGACTTGGAGGTAAACCAGATGACAAAGAACTTCGCCGCTGTTGCTGCTGTTGTTGCAGCAAATTTCGTTGCGAGGGAAGCTGCAAGATGACTATCTTCTGAGGTTTGGCCGGGGGCTCAGCCTTAGGCAACAGTGGAGATGAATGTTGTGTGAGCGACCCCCGACGTGAACCCGCCTCCGATCCAGGACGTGGAGTGGGAGGAGGATTCATCGGCTGCGGACTGCTTCCTGCTTTCACCTGTACCCACTGCATTGCCGGCGATGAAGTAGCTGGTTGTGCAGACCGTCCCAGTATAATGGCTTGCTCTTGAGCTACCACAGAATCCTCTCGCTGATTCTGTTCAAGTGGAAATGGGCGAGGAGGGACAGTTGGTGTAGGCAGTCCCTGCTGCCTAGGTCTAGCCGAGCCTGGCAGCGACAGCAAGACCGCCATCTCTTGTTCGTGGGGAGACGGGTGAGAAGGTGAGTTGGGTGTAGGTGGCCGAGACATGGACACGTCCTGGGATAGAGATGACCTCGGCCGGGGCGGGTTGAGGCTCGGTATGTTTTCCGACCTTAGCACCGGTGTGGGATATGCTTCCTGCGGCTGCTGCTGTCTCCCCTGGAGCATGCCAGTGTTCGACCCTGTTCCTGTAAGTGGGTGGCTCGCTTGTCGTGGGGGAGGGACAGACGCTGACTGGTTTCTTTGTGACTGGGGTGGAGGCGACGATGCAATACCAGCCGGAGCTTTCTAAGCTCGGCCTGTCACCGACGGCCGCCGTTGCGGTGGTCCAGAAAGACTGAAACTCGAAGAGCGTCTTGGAAAGTCGGTGCCGCCCATGACAATGTCGGGCTCCCCCGGGGCATCCTCGCCATCAAACAACCCCGGATGCCCTTTGGGAAGCCGCTGGGCACCAAAGCCGTTGACCTTGAAAATATTGACCCGCCCACCATTCGTAGCCGTCTGTAACTGCTCATGTAGACGAGCCAGCTGATACTGCCTTTTAATCGGCGTAAACACCGGCTGCGGCACCACAGGCTGCGGATTCCAATGAGCCAGCGCAGCCATAACAGCAGCCGTCTCCTCATCACTATCCACCGCCGCCGCATTAACATCATCCTCATCCTCCAACGGAGCATTCGCATCAATCGCTGCCTTCTGCTGCTTCGCCTGGTTCTTCTTTTGATAGGCCAACAGCAGCATATCATACGGCAGACTCCTCCCCGGCACCGCCCTCTTCGCGCTCATACTATGGCTCTTGCACGTCAGCGACCTCGCACAAGGCAAGCCATTCGCCAACGTGACACCACACTGCCTCTCCACATCGACCGGCCCCTTTGGCTTTACGACCTTCCCCTTCGACTCCTCCTTCTTTTTCTTCGTCTTCCCCCCCAACTCCCCATCCGCCTTCCTCTTCTTCCCCGAAACATCCGTCTTCTTCCCCGCCACCCTCTTGGCCGTCTTCCCAGCCGTACCCCCAGCCTTGACACCACCACCACCACCACCACCACCATCATCATCATCATCATCACTATCATCATCCCCCCCCCTCCCACCCCCATTCTCCCCCTCGATCTTCCTCGCCTCCTCCCTCTGCGCTTCCTTCGCCCTTTCTCTCGCCTCCCTCGCCTCCTTCTTCCGCTGCGCCTTTTCCTTTTTAATCTTCAAGCACCGCGCAATGTGCTCCTTGGCCGCGATCCTCGTCACGCCTTGCTTGCAGTGCTTGCACGCCTGCAGCTCCGGTATATCGTCAAGCGGTCGACCGGTGCTAAACGTTTCGCGCGACGACTCGTCGAGCTGGTTCACCACCGGCGTCGGTGACACAGCGGTGATCTCTTTCGCTTTCTTCTTGTCGTCTATTGCCCCCACCAATTCAAGTCAGTAAACCATCAACCAACATCACCCCAACCAAAGAACACAGGTGTTCAAAACCCACCCTCAACAACCCCTGCCTCCTTCCAATTCCCCGGTTTCGTCTGCCTCACCACCGGCCTCTTCAACTTGATCTTCCCATCCTTTGTCGTATTCGTCATCGTCGTCGTCGGTCTCGAGGGAGTCATGCTCTTTTTATTCACCGAGGCGACCTTGATGGTGGCCTCCTCATCTACATGCGATCACCACCAGAACAATCATCAGCATTTTCCCGCACAAATAATGAAAATGTATGTGTGTGTGTATATGTAGGTATGTGGTGTGCACGTGTGTGTCGCATACCTTTGCGCGCTTCCATCGTCGCCATGTCGATGAAGTAAGTCGTGTTTTTCAATCAACGGGCGGGAGAGCAAGAAGGGTATAAGAAGACGGAGCAGCAGCGCGCAGTTCTTGGCGACGAGCTTTTCCCATTTCCAAATCGATTAACAATTTGCCGCTGGCTCTTTGTTGGATGAAGTCGATGTAGCCGTAGTTAGGTTCAAAGCAAGCTGTGCTGCGCCTTGGTGTGTGCTGTGCACTGTGTGCCCAGTGACACCACTCCCAGCGCGCGCGCGCGAGACATAAAGTGGAGACAGGCAGATGAAATAAGGTTATCGATAAGCCACTAGCGGGGGATGTGCTCTCTAGCGGGGCCCCTCTTCCTCTTGGCCCCCAGAAAGTTGATGCTTGATCTTTCAAGACTCGATTAATATCGTAGGAAAATCACCTCCTGTCATAGTCACAGATGCAAGAACGAAGAAGATGGGTATCTCGTGAGATTATCTATGCTACCACCTCCGCTTGACGCTATAGAAAAAGAGACGTGCAAAAACAATACAATTTCCTCCACTTTCACTCATTATCATGAAACACGATTCAACTTGGAAAAAAAAACCAAGCGAAGAGATCATTTCTCCCTCGTTACCAAAAAAAAAAATACAACACTCCCCCTGCTATTCAGTACCTCCCGGATGCCTTCCTTATCGGGTCACCACCTGAATATAAATGTGGCCGCGGCCCCTACGCCTGGTAATTTCCATACACATTCTGGCTCGGCACAGTGTGCTGCTGGTAGCCCCTGTGAGGATGCATCATCGGTTGCTGGGAATGGTGCTGTTGCGGGTGGGCGGGCTGGTGAAACTCGGCAAACCATTCGTGGTTCAACGCCTCCGCCGCTGAGATGCGAAGTTCCGGCCGCAACTGCAGCATCCGCTGAAGAAGATCGATGCCCTTCTCGTCAATCTGAGGGAGAATGTTGCGCAACGGCTGCGTCGCATACATCTGCCATGTCGTCTTGTACTCGGGGAACTGCGACAGCCCCGGCCATGTCCTCTCCGTCGGCGTGCCCATAATCCTGAAGATCCTAATCGTCTGGTCTTCGTTGGAGGTGCCAGGGAAGAGCGGCCGTCCAGAAAACATCTCCGCCATGATGCAGCCAGCCGACCAGATATCGATGCTCGTGTTGTAGGTCCTGCTTCCCAACAAAACATCCGGGGCGCGGTACCAAAGCGTCACAACCTCGTTACTGAACGTGTTGACGGGAATGCCG